AGTATATTAAATATGCAAGGGCCTTTTGAGTCTGCATAAAATTATTGTGAGTATCCAAATTAGATTTGCTAATATGCAGTGCTTATTAAATCGGATGACCTACCCATTCAACATTAGCCAATACCTCAATATCTAAGTGATCTAATCTATTATTTAATAACAAATTATATTGAGAAGAATAGTCTGTGAATCTTGCATCATGTTTCACTTCTGTGTTTTAGCCAAATGTGTTCAAACATATTTGAGGATCTACTTGTTCAGTTTCTTTGTGCATATTTATGTGTGATAGTCTACAGACTTAAGATATTTTGAAAGAACATTGAGAAGAGATGTTATTTTTATGTTACCTGAAAAACAGAAATATTTGTTTTAGCAGAATAATTTGACATGTTTAATTAACACATTAGACAGTGCAGTTTTTTTTCCTCCAAATTATCATCCCATTCCTTTGTGCCTAATATTTGCTATATTTCAATTAAATTATATCCTGTCATAATATCAAGATAACTAAAGATGTGGATTATGATAATATTAGTAACAATAATTCTTAAATAAATGAGTTGAATTTAAACATTTAATACTTTTAATTTGATTTATTTAGACTACAGAAGAGTAAACCATGAAAAACAGTTGTATTTTTCTTTAATATATTAAGCAACTACATTTTAATATAAAATTTGACACATAATTACACATTTTGAGAAATAAATCCTAATTGTAAAGTTTCTCCTAAAATTCCTTTATATGGTAATCTAAAAGTGTAAGAATATCCATAAAATGTATTTAAATCTGCTAATTTTCAAAAGTAAAAAGATTCACATGAAATTAAGAGGGATTTTAACAATATAATACCTATAATTAGAGAAAAGATTTAAAACTAAAATTTAATAGTTCTTTTCTCACTAAAAATATAATTCATGCTAATATTATTATTTTTAAAAAAGATAGTACAAAGTAATAACTCCTTATAACTCAAATCAATAATAATATTCATAGCATTTACTATATATACATCATTCATTTCTTCCTGTATCTCTCTTTCCTTTTCCTTTTTGCTTAACATGTCCTTCATAAACTAATCATTTTAAAACAAATACAGAGTTTGAGTACATTTCTAGTGTAATTACTCTCATATATGTATGTTTATACATATATATCTTATTTATTATCAGATGAATTATATCTAATATAATTATTATGACCATTTTACTATTGTTGAACATTTAATGTTTTCAGATTTAGATATTGAATAACATTTCTTTGAACATTGATAAATCTTACTCTCCTCTTCCATCCCAATAAATATTTCCTGGGTGAGTGACTGAATAAAATATTTGCCACATTTCTACATTTTTAACACTAACTCATAAATGTAGTTATTTGTATACTATCTATCTTATAAGGCTTCTACATTCTAAGTATATGAATATATGAAAAATAAATTTACATATGATTTTTGGGAAGATATGCTTGCAAATAATATATTTCCCAGAACTATAGACATAAGAGTATAATTTTTCAGAACTGAAAATTAATTTATGGATCCTTCAGTTTGGGCATTCAATTTATGTTAGAAGAGTTCATTAGAATTAACTGGAATAGTCTTTCAAAAGATATTTTCCCTTTGATATGTTGCTTTATTGCTGGGGAAGATGCTTTCGAAGTGTCAGATAGTCTCATAGGTGAAGGACCTATTTATAGCCTGATAGTATTTATTCTACCAGGAACAGTGACTGATCCAAATCCAATATTTTGTTAATGTAGCAGATTGAAGACAGATCTCCTGTTGTCTATATGTTCTAATGTACCTTTGCACATAAGTGTGTTCCCCATGATGGATATTAGAGAAAAAGAATGGGAGGGTCAAATAAGCTTGAAAATATTAGGTCAAACACAGTTTTATTAGTGCAGAATACCTCAGAACTTTGGATATACTAATGTGCTTATTATTCTCTTAATAGAAGAATATGATGTGCAAAACTTCCCCAGCTTATTTGAGGATGGTGCTGATCCCTCGGAAAAATTCAAGAGACTTATCTTTTGAAACACCCTTTGAGCCAGGTGTGGTGATGCACACCTGTAATCACAGCAGTTCAGGAACTGAGGCAGGAAGATTGCAAGTTCAATGCCAGCCTCAGCAATTTAGCTAGACACTAAGCAACTCAAAGGGACCCTGTCTCAAAATAAAATATAAAAAAAGGGCTGGGGATGTTGCTTAGTGGTTAAGCACCCCGGAACCAAATAAACAAACTAACAAATAAAAGCACTTTCACAGATATTATTTGCCATATTACTATTTGCAGACATCTATTATCCACAAATAATGAAACTGTACATGAAGAAATTAATATAATTTAGGCATCTATTATTATGCTTATTCCAAATAATAATAATTTATCATGAGGAGTTCTAAATAATCACATGTACCTAGTTTTAGTGGTTCATATCTTGAAGCACTGGACTTCACATATTAGTGTGCAGCAGCATCGCCTTGAAGTCTTGCTAAAATACAGATTGCTAGGTGCCTCTTTTGCTCCTTGAGACGGACTAGATCTGGGTTGAGCCCTGAGAATCTGCATTCTTTAAAATTCATTGGATACTAATGATGCTTTCCCAATGGCTGTGCTTTGAGAAACTAGCACTTTAAAATAAGTGTTGTGACCTTCACTAATTTAGAATAATGCTTATAAAGGAAACATATAGTTTCATCACTCATTAGTTGGAGTTTATGTTATTAATGTGGGTGGTTTGTTTTATTGTATCATTCTATTTATTATTCAAGTCAAGAGTTCCAAGGAATACAAAATGGAATAAATTTTAAACTATTTTAAAAATACATAATTGAATCCAAGAATAAGATTCTCATGTATCACTCTCCTTTTATCTTTTAATCATTGTTTCAAGGCCATTGTGTTATGTAAGTTAGGCAACACGTTAGTTATTTGATTCTGTTTCTTAGTTTTGTTGTCTTTCCTTTCTTCTCCTTTGTACTGTACACAGCTGACCTGTTTTAGAAAAGAGAATAATTAGTAATTCTTTTTGTTTGTTTGTTTGTTTGTTTTTTACCAGGGATTGAACTCAGGGGTCCTTGACCACTGAACTATATCCCCAGCCTTATTTTGCATTTTATATAGCAACAGGGTCTCACTCAGTCACTTAGTGCCTTACTTTTACAGAGGATGGCTTTGAACTCACAATCCTCCTGCTGTAGCCTCCTGAGCTGTTGGATTACAGGCATGAGACACTGCTCCTAGCAATTAGTGATTCTTGAATGTGGATATTTTGCAAAATTTTAGACTTTCAAATTCAGTCTTATTACTTTGTAAATTCAATTTGTTAATAAAAGAACAAATATTTGTATTTGTGGCTTCTACCTGTATAAATGCAATATTCTGTTTTCAAAAATTTGTTCCAAAGATAGGTTTTAAAACCCAAATCCCATATGCTCTTGTGAGCATGCTGCAATCACATTGATCATCATTCCAGGAGTGACATAAAATAAAATTCTTCTTATGAGTATTTGCTCATATTCTCTTTCAGTGTTTCATTTACAAAAATAACTTAGTCACAACTGACAATTGACTTTATGACCTAGTGATAGGTTCTTCCTGGAGCTTCAAAAGCTGTTGGTAAAAATAAAAAGCACTCTATTGCTTAAAATTTTGTCTAGTATTTCTAAAGTTCAGTGTTCCAAGGAAAAAATGACATGGGTGTGTTTTCAAATATTTGAGGACTCTAATGTGTTATCTGTCATTTAAACTTTCAATATGATATGAAAAGTTGGATACCATTACTTCTTTGTAGAACTACTGACTTTCCATTTTCTGCAAACTATGTTAGGACATTTTCAGGTTACTTCTTTCAATTTTCTCTATTGTTTAGTATTGCTGTATGCCTGCCAAATGGTATTTTTGTGTGATATATTATGGTCAAGTGTTGTGAATTTTTTTCAATTGTTTTTGAGGCAATTATCTTTGACATATAGAAATCAGTCTCCATAGTAAAGGAACTAAAAAACAGGCCTAAATTTACTTTTTAAAACATTCAGTTAAGGAAGAGTTACATGACTTTTTCAACTGAAAAAAAAGTGTTTACTATAAATAGAACACAAAGTTATAGATATATTTTCAGTAAATGAATAAAAATTCTAGTTTATTGCCAAGGGTCTGGGTGGCAACAAGGTAATTCTGCCTCACCAGCATAGTTCCAGCAGATGGAAAATTAACCTTAGACTTTAATCTCCTGTGGAATTTGCTTGAATCATTATTGATTGTATCTGAATTCCTACCTTAGGAAACAAATTGGCAGAAGTTAGGATTTAATTGTGTTTAGATTTATAGTGGATCTTCTTTCTCAATATACTTTCTTCTTTAACACAAAAATTGAGACACATGGAAAACATGAAAAAAATCAAGGGAATCTGACAAAATAATCTTACATTGCTGCCTGATTGCTGTCATGCATTTGTAGTCAAGTTTTCCTTAAGTAACCAATATAAATTTAGTACCATAAATTGTGCAATTTATTTCAAGTGGTTGGTTTTAATAGTTGTATTTAAAGGCACTTATCCTTTTCTTTAAATGTCCATCTTAATGTCTTATGTGAGAAAGGTCTGAGTGGTTCCCAAATAACTCCACCAATGGAGAAATACAGGGAATTTGTTGCAATGCGAATGCTAATACTTGAATGGGAATTCGTGTGCCCAATGTCATCATGGAATTATCTTTAAAAATATTTTTGTGGGGACTGGGGTTGTGGCTCAGTGGCAGAGTGTTCACCTAGCACGTGCAAGGTCCTGGGTTCGAACCACATCACAACATATAAATAAGTAATATAAAGGTATTGTGTCCAACTGAACTAAAAAATAAATATTTTAAAAATATCCTTGTGGATCTTTTGTGTTTTGTAGAATAAATATTTACGAGATGAAAAGTAAATATGAAAATATCTATGTTAGTATAAATTATAAAATTATTTATTATCTATCTTTTCCTTTGTAGCCTGAAAAAAATGATAGTGAGCCAGGCAGCCAGAGGATTAAGCCTGTTTTTATCGATGATGCTAATTTTGGACGACAAATATCCTATCAGCATGCAGCAGTCCATATTCCCACTGACATCTATGAGGGCTGTAAGTAAAAGAATGTGAATGACTGTTGGAATACTATGCTCATGCCTATTTATATATCTCATATTTGAAAAATAGGAGCAAGTGCAGCACTGTCTCATTTTCAAATCTTATAGAAGTCTGTGAAAGGCCTGGGGATGTAGCTCACTGATAGAACACTTGCCTAGCCTGTGCAAAGCCATGGGTTTGATTTCCTGAACTAGAGATGCTAATGTGGGGGTACTGTGGCAAGATGATTTATGTAAAAGAAGCCTAATTTGAATGAAGAGTTTATTTATGTAGCTTCACTATGTGACTCTTTGTAGGGATGCCTGCATCCACAGAGACTTCCTTTACATCTATTGTCCAATAAATGATTCTACCTTCATAGTGGACAACCAGTAACTTATAAAATATATTGATACAGGGCTGGGGATGTGGCTCAAGTGGTAGTGAGCTTGCCTGGCATGCGTGCGGCCTGGGTTCGATTCTTAGCACCACATACAAACAAAGATGTTGTGTCTGCTGAAAACTAAAAAAATAAATATTACAAATTCTCTCTCTCTAAAAAAATATATTGATACATTCTTTAGAAATTGAAACAATGCAGCTATATATTACACTCACATAAAACAATCTTTTTATATAAACATACAAACTGGCAGAGGGATTTTGTAGAGTTTACACTCTGCAGTCCTTACGCCTTCTTGCCATGCCTGTCAGTCTGTCTCTATCCCTCTTTGCCTACCCTAGGGTATAGGACAAAGAACCCACATTCCAGTAGTTTGTGGGCCCAACATAAAATGAGTGTTGTGGAGGGAAAAAAAAGAAGGAGAAGGAGAAGGAAAACTAAAGAGATAGAAAACCAGTGACCAGCAGGCTTAGCTGAGAAGGCTTCATGGTGAGGAAGGGAGGACGTATGCAAAGGCCCAGGGAGAAGACCTGTTCAGTGACCTTCCATATTCTAGCACTGATTCCTTAGGCTGAGGATTCCACAGGCTTTCTGCTAAGGCAGCTTGGTCTTCCATGAGAAGAGTGACGCAGGAGACAGGGGCTTGACTCAGTCATGGCCTGTGCTTCAATGTTAGCCATTCTCAAATTTTCCTCTGACCCCCTCATGCACCTTGGACCATGCCTTCTGATATAAGTAAAGAATAAAGGGAAAGAATCACTTGAGGTTTTTACAAATATGTTTCTCATGTTGTCCATAATGTGGAGGTTATAGAATACATCAAGCACCCAGAGTGTATCCAGAATTGCTGAGTCCTGGAGTTAGATTGCCTGAGTTCAAATCTAAACCTTAACAATAATATTTCCCTGGTAAAATCCGTCAACTTTCTTCGCAAGGATTTTCTTATTACATAAAATGAGGCTAATTAGGAAAGATCATCTGAGGATAAAATAAGTTAATTTATATAGGTTCTCAAGTGCATATGAGCATTCATAATTAATTACAATTCAAATTCACTAAGACTCAAAGGATTAATAAATGGGACTTTATAAATTAGCTTTTATTTGGAGATTCACTCTGAGCTTATTTTTTTTTTAAATAACGCTTTAAATACGTGTAAATTTTTTTTGTCACATAAATTCCATGTTCTATCAAATTACTCTATTCACATTATTCACAATTCTCTCTCTTTTTCTCTCTCTCTTCCCTGTGGGGTTGGGGATTGAAGCCAGGGCCTCCTATATAGTAGGCAAGAGCTCTAGTACTGGACTGCATCCCCTATCATTGTTTCTCAATTTTAATGTTTAAAGGTACATTCTGTTTTCATCCTATCAATTCTTTTAAGATTTTTTATTTGCCTTTTTAAAATAGTTCTTCTTTCTATTCATTCTAGTTATACACAATAGAGAGGTTCATTTTGATACATTTAGAAATACATATGTAGTTTCTCAATGTCAACCCTCGGTGCTGTCTCCGTCCCTCCTGTCTTCCCTCCTCAGGATCTCTTTCTACTTTTTGGATCTTCCTTCTATTATCATTTAAGTGCTGCATTCTAGTCATATATACATTGGAATTCATTGTGATATATTTATACATACACCAAGCCTAATTTAGTCAACTCCATCCCTCAGTTCTTCCCCTTTCTTGCCCTTCCCCATTGTACCCTGCTTCTACTCTACAGATCTGCCTTCTATTTTTTGAAAGATTCTCCCTTTTTGTATTCCTTTTTTTTTTCTTTTAGCTTCTGCATATTGGACAAACATTCAACCTTGACTTTCTGAGTCTGGGTTATTTCACTTAGCATGATTATGATTTTTTTCTCTATTAGAAAAAAGAGATTGTGCATATGTAGTATCCTGTGTTACATGAGAATTAAACATTATTTAACTTTTTTATAATCCCACTCACAATATCTAAGTATTTTTTGGAATTAGATGGGATTTAGATCATAGTGATATGTGCTTTTTTTTCATTGACCTTTATATGTGTCACTTTTTTCAGTAATTGTTTCAGCATTTGAAATTAGAGTAATAACTATCGTAACCTCTCTTTGGATAATGCTAAGCTATGTGATTGAGTTTTTTTCAATTAAAAAATACTACTGCCTTTTGTACTTTCTAACAGTCTATCACTCATTATTTTTTGGATATATCCACAAAATAATAATCCCATAACTTTATATATGTCTATTGAGTTCAATTTTATTTTTATCAATCTTCTGAATCTCATGACATTCTTCCACCCAGTATGACTGGGTTGAAGAAAATAGAGACTAACTCGAATGTTGTTAATTTGTTAGAAAATTTTATGATTGGGTTTGCTTTGGGGTCCAATATTTAAGATGTTTCTCCCTTATTCCTTAAATCCACTAACTTATAAATACCAACAAGATATTCTATCAATGATTTTTTTTCAATTTTTTTTCCTGTGGAATATTTTTATGTATATTTATATAGAAGCCTTGTATGTAAAATCAAGGGCCACTGTAGCTGAAACAGAGATTATAGGACTGCCTGTTACCTCCTGTTGTACTTTGGATGGAGCCCTGTTTGTCTCATATTGGTGGTCAAGGTAGATTCTGTGTGCAAGTTTACAAATTATTGTTTGATGGTTCTGGAACCAGAATTTTCCATGGGAGGTGGTGAGAAACTTCACATGAGAATTTTCATTTCTTTTTCTTTTGCTCTTTTAATGTTTTTTTTAGTTGCAATCACATTTATAATTTAAGTTTTAATGTATTTTGTACTAGAACAGATATAAGCATGACACATAAAGTAAATTGAAGCATAAGATTTTGTTGTAATTAAAAATTATTACTTACATATAATATTAGTTATACATAATATTAACATTCATTTTAACAATTATTTTTTAAGTATATTTTTCATCTGAGTGTAGTGGTGCAGGCCTTGTAATTCCCTTAAGAGGATGAGGAAGAAGAATCACAAGTTTGAGACCAGCCTCATTAACTTGATGACACTCTGTCTAAAAAAATAAGATGGTCTGGGAATGTAACTCAATACTAGAGCACCCCAGTACTCCCCACCTCCAAAAATGTTTTTGCTTTTACATAGTGCATGTGTGAACACACACAAATGCACTTTCTTTCCTGTATCCTAAGTTTTGATACTTATAAGTATTTGTATTCAATTAAAAAAACTATTTATAAATATTTGCAAATAAAAATTTTAATAGTCACAAGGATAAAATTTATTACCTCGAAAATTGATATAGGAAATATTTAAAAATATGTTTTAGATGTTAAAAGGTGCTACTTGGAATAGGCGATAATTTTCAAAAAGAAAAAGAAGTTCTATCTTTATTTTATTTACTGTCATTTTTCTTATTATTGGATGTTCTGCTGCTGAAATCCCATTCAGGATATTCTAATCCTGTGTGGCTTGCATCCCTTTAAAATTCATATCCAGCTTTATGGGCTGCAGGAGTAAATGACAGGAGTGAAATCAGAAATGTCAACAAGATCTGGAAAATTTTATAATTACTCATGTTCTTTAGGCAGGTCATTGGAAAGAATCAGATTTAGAGGATTGTTCTAGGTTTCTGAGTTTAATGACTATGAAAGTACACTTTAATTGAAGGCTTAACTGAAGGAAACAGCCTCATCTTTCAGTTAAATACAATCATGTGGCTACATTCTCAGAAACAATCTCATGTTCAAATTCCTCAAAGACGATTACTTTATAAAGTCCCTTGGATTGAAATGTGATTATTTTTGCTCAATGATATGTTTTAAGTTTCAAAATAGTCTATTTAATTAGAACCCTATCTTAAAGTTTCCAATTTTGAGAATTTTACTGATTGCTGCTTTGGATTTTCAATTCTCAAACCATAAGTAATTTTCAGATCTCATTTATCTGTTTATGAGTATAGAAAATGTATATAGACTTCAATAAAACAAGTGCTAACTATTCTCTCCTAATTATTAGTTTTTTAATCACATAAAATCATTAATTTTTTAATCAATTCAGATTCAAGCTTAGGGAATGTATTTATAGGTTATTTTTATTTTCAGTAGAATTTTTTTAAGAGAGAGAGACAACTTTTTAATATTTACTTTTTAGTTTTTTCGGCAGACACAACATCTTTGTATGTGGTGCTGAGGATCGAACCCGGGCGCACACACACCAGGCGAGTGCGTTACCACTTGAGCCACATCCCCAGTCCCTTAAGTAGAAATTTTTGATATTTGCTCATATAATATAGTTCCAAAAGAATATACTTATAAAGGAAAATAATAAAAGGAGCTCCAACTTACATAAAGCTTTCAAGTATCAGATAAATTGCACTTATATGATGAAAGCAAGGCAGTTATTATTCTCATTTTAGAAATAAAACAACATACCTTTATCACAAAGATATTAATTTTGATGAAATATGTCTTTTGAGAAGTTGTATTATGTCTCTTATCCATTACTAAAAGTACTTGCTTTTGAAAACCCCTAATCACTAATACTTATACTTTGTCCTGATGTGTATTTGTCTTGTATTAAGATATAGCAACCATATCTTACACAATGCTACTATATATATTAGGAAATATAGGGAAAAAAAA